AACTCTCTCTCTCTCTCTCTCTCTCTCTCCCTCTCTCTCTCCCTCTCCCTCTCCCTCTCTCTCTCTCTCTCCCCAGGATATTGAGAAGGAAAAGAGAGGTGCAAAGAAAGAAAGAAATAGCAATTAATTTTAAATATATAATTAACCTTAGCCTGTAAGAAAAGGAAAACAAATAAGGTCACATGAAATGATGGGAATAAATAATAGCAACAGAAAGACACAGGTGTGCAGGTTTCCAAGGCTGTAAATCTCGATGGATGTGGAAAGCCTCATCTTTTTCTTTCTGAAGAGGTGATGGGTCTGATCTTTCGCCTTCCAAGGAGCTCGCTGATGGGTTTGAAAGCACAGATCTGTTGGTTAGCAGTCCAATGCTCACTCAAAGAGTGCCGCCTGGTGGGCTCCTTTGGCACACTGAAAGATGTGCGTGGATTGTTTTGCTCAACCCTGGTGATGACTTGATCGTTTGAGTTAGCAGTTACTTCTGCTTGACTTATCCAAGCCTTAAATCAATAAAACCTTCAGTAGGAACAACCTGGAAACCTAGAGGAACCCATTCAAGCATTGTGTGTCTCACGGAAGGAGAGATTGGCAGACAGCCTGAGCTATTGAAGGACTCTTCAAGCCCTAAAGCTGCTGAGTGATTGAATTGTGAGGATGGTGCTGGCCTGGGAGATGTTTTGTTTGGTTGTGGACAGGACATCTAGAGTCACTTTGAATCAGAACCGACTTGATGGTTCCTAAAGACAACAGTCAGTCTCATGCCTCTTCCAAGGATTGAAAATGCATGTAATAGCATTTTAATGTCATGCGTGGCCACATAACCAAGATCTCTTTATTTTGTTATTTAGTATTATAAATAAAGGCTTTTTTTTTAATGGAAGGAGCTTGGTGGCAGAGTGGGTGACCCAAGGTCAGCAGTCCAGACTCCCCAACTGCTCCATGGGAGAAAGATAAGGTTTTTTATTCGTGTAAAAAGTTACAGTTTCAGAAACCCACGGGGCAGCTCTACCCTGTTTTATAGGGTCACTGTGAGTCAAAATCAGCTCAATGGAAATGATTGTTTGTTTGTTTTTGTTGAGTTTTAACATGGTAGGCAACCTTTAGGTTGTGTCTTTTGGGGTCTTGGCCATTCCTGGGGGCCTCAAGTAGATTCTGAACTCCCGTGGCGTATTGTCCCCTGACCAATTCCTGGAAAGGGGCATTGTGTTGGTAAAGCAGAGGGGCAGTAAACAAGAGCAAGACCCTCAGTGAGGTGGATGGACACCGTGGCTGCAGCACTGGGCCCAGGCACAGGAACAATTGTGGGGATGGTGCAGAACCGGGCACTGTTTTGTTCTGGTGTGCTTAGGGTCGCTATGGGTCAGAAGTGACTCGCTGACCCCCAACCACCACACCATGTGACAGAGAAGAACTCCTGATAAGAGTTTTCTTAATTCTTGGTTCCAGAGTAGCTCGCTTCTAACCACCATAAGGTAGCAGCCAAGCAATGAACTCTTAAACTCCCAGGGATTCTAACTCCTGGACTAGATGTTTTTGTGTCTTAGATGCGTTTTGTGACCGTCTAGCCCAAACTCCTTTAGGTTGTGAACCCACCCACTGCCAGTGAGTCAATTTTGATTGTAGGGACCTTACGCAGGGTTTGTGAAACTGTCCATCTTTATAGGAACAGACGTCTCAACTGTCTCCTTTGGAGGGCCTGGTGTGTGGGAACCACTGGTCATATGTTTAGCAGCCCAACACCTAACCAGGACTCCTTCCTTTCAGTTGTACTGTTTCTTCCCTAGCTTACCAAATGAAGTTGCTAGAACACTGAAAAGATAAAAGGCTCTCCTACACTTCATCGACGGTAAGCGTGCCAAGCTTGCCACTAACATCTGCCTCTTTATCACCCTCTCCTGGTGAAACGACTTCATGATTTATAAGAAGCCGTTGGGGAGACTTTATGTTTTCTCCAGTAGAAATGGCTAGCTGACTGACTGCATTATACATTTTCTGAGATTTTCTTTTCCCCCAACTACATTACATATTGAAAACTGTATAATCTATTTTTTCAAATAAAGAATTAATGCTGATTCAGGAACCCTGGTGGCATAGTGGTTACATGTTGGGCCGTTGACCACAAGGTCAGCCACTTAAAACTACCAGCCTCTCCACTGGAGAAAGACAGGCTTTCTATGCTATAAAGAGTTCTAGTCATGAAAACCCCCAGGGACAGGGTTAGCCTCTCATAAGATCACTGAGTCATAATTGGTTTGATGGCAGTGAATTCCGACTTGTGAAACTTAGGGGAAATTTTTCTATGGTTTAAATATTCACCCATTATATTTAGCTCTTCAAAGTATGCAGATTTCACATGCAATATGTTAACAGACTATTTCAAAGACGTTTATAAACTAAAAGCCATTTTAAAATTCTACTCTAATACCTTCAAAACTAATATCTATAGTTTAAGTCACACTTTTGGAGGCCGCCTGCCAATTTCTCTCTCTCTTCAATCATTACTCTATTGTTCATATCCATTTCCACATATAAGAAGTCCTGGTGGTAAGGTCAGTAGTTCGAGCCCACCATCCACTCCTCAGGAGAAAGATAAGGCATCTCCTTCCATAAAGGTTTCCTGCCTCCAAAACTCTGGGTAACAGCTGCACTCTGTCTGATACTAATAGCCAGAATTGACTCGAGGACAGGTGTTTTGTTTTTGTTTCGTTTGGGTATTTCCTCTTTTGTCAGTTCAGGTATCTCTTTAAATGAAATATTTCATTGCTCCCTTTCTCTTATTATTATCATGAGGGCCCTGCCCAGTCAACAGAGTCAACAGTTCAAAGCCACTGGCCTCTCTAATGTCGAAAGATGAGACTTTCTGTTCCCAGATAGATTTACAGCCTTGGAAACTCACAGGAGCAGTTCTGCTCTGTCCTATTTGAGCCCTTTACTGTTTGAAGCTCAGCATTGGTCTACTATCCACAAATTGATGGTTCAAACCTATCAGTCATTGCACAAGAGAAGGATGAAGCTGCTGGTTCCCATAAAGATGGACAGTCTCAGAAATGCTATGGACAGTTTGACTCTCTGTGGTAGGGCCACTAGGAGTTGGAACCACAAACTCCGGAGCCGTGGATTACTACGTGAACTACCCAGGGACTCCCACCTATCTCCATGCAGAGCTCCTCCCCTCTGCAAAGGTATTGGCTCAGAAAACCTACACAATTCCCAACTGCCATTCGCACTGACCAATTATACATTACCTCAGCCAGGATCATTGATTCTGTCTAAGCTTCTCTTTAGTAAATATTGCTCAGTAGAAGACTGGATGCAAAATTGCCCAACGTGAAAATGCATGCATCTTTTATCCTCGCAAGTTTCTACATTCTAGAACACACCCCACAATGACCAAGATTCTTAGAATCTAGTGGGATAGAAAATGAAGACTATGACCTCATAAACCCCCATTCAACTCAGTTTTAGCGACTAGCTCAGTGTTACCTGGCTTAAAAAATAAGAACATATCTCCCAGTCTTAATGTTGTTTTCAGAAAAGTATTCTACTGTGTCAAACCACCAGGTGGCTGTCAGTGTGTTGCTGTAATGCTGGAAGCTATGTCACTGTTATTTCAAATACCAGCTGGGGCTCCCACAGTGAACAGGTTTCAGCAGAGCTTCCAGGCTAAGCATAGTCTGTGAATAAAGAATTGGCTGCCCACTTCTGAGGGATTAGTCACTGAACAGTTTATGCATAACAGGGGGGCATGGTCAGACATAGTGCCAGAAAATGAGCTCCTCAGTTTAGAAGGTACTGAAAACACGACTGGGGAAGAGCTTCCTCCACAATGTTGAGTTGGCCTTAATGATGCAGATGAAGTGAACTTCTTGATACCTTCATTGACTGGTTTGGCGTAGCTTAAAATGAAAAGAGCTGCAAGCATCCCTCAAGAGTGGGAATATAGAAGGTATGAAGAATGAATCTAGGAAAATTGAAATGGATCAATATCATAGGTATTGGCCATTTAGACGTAGACAATCATATGGTTTACTATGTTGAGAATGACAAATGCAAGAGTGATTGTTTCACTTTCATCCTCAAAAAAGAACATTTCAAGCTCTGTCTTGAAGAACACTGCTGTCTGAAATAGGATATTAGCTGTACATCTACAAGGAAGTCGGGTTAATACAACTATTATTCAATTTTATACACCAATCACTAAAGCCAGGAATAAAGAGATTGAAGAATTTTACCAACGTCTTCCATCTGAAATTGATCAAATATGTAATCAAGATGTATTTGTTATCACTGGTGATCCGAACACATAATTTGGAAAGAAAGAGGAAGTGACAGTAGTTAGAAAATATGACCTTGGTGATGGAAACAAAACTGGAGAAACAAATCCAGAGACACTCATTTATGTGTGCAAGAAAGAGCTTTACATAAAAGAGTAATTGTACATTAAGAAAATATCGTGCCCAGTCCAGATCAAGTCCATAAGTCCAATATTAGCCCATATGTCCAATACTAGTCCATAAATTCCTCTCTAGACTCACGCAGCCATGCAATAATGCTGAATTCAGGAAGATCACAGTCCAGTGGATGGACTGTCTTGTGGATCCAGTGGCATCTCTGTCTTAAAGGGTCATTGTAAGTAGGCACTGGGTTTTGGGTTTGGTTTAAGTGAAGGTTTCTGAGAAAGCTCCTGAAGGTTAAGCAAAGAGCAGGCTCTCAGAGTGACTGTGTTGATTATTGGTAGTTTGGAGTGTTTCCCTCAACCTTCCGGAGAGAGGTCACAGGCAGGAACCACGCCATGATAAATCACATTAACAGAGAGGCCTCCCAACTGCCTCCCTTAAGCCGGATTTTGACGCTTGTGTATTCACTGCGCATGTGACACTTTCCTTTACGGGTGGGCGGGTGAGACTTGAGAGCGGAGGCCTTGAGGGGGCGGGGCCAAGCTGTTTCCAAGGTGACGGAGCCGCGGCTTCGGTGGTGGATTGAGCGGGTCTGAGCAAGGTTCCCAGAGGGCCGCGCGCCGGCCGCTCGTCGGCGCTGTCATGGCGGGGCTGCTCAAGAAGGTGAGGCGAGTGGAGGTCACCCTTGGCATTGGGCTCTGGGGACAGAGTCGGCCCGAGAGCCCCTCTTCCGCGGGCGGTCCCCGGGAGCTCGGGCTCGGCGGTGCTCTTCGGGGCGCCGTTCTGCTCTGTCCTCTGGGGTGGCCGGTTTGGGGTTCGGCTGGGCGAGGAAGCTCCGAGCGCGATGGAGAGCCGAGGCCGTCTCGGGGCCGCCGGCCACGCTCCGTGGCCTGGACGGGCGTGGGAACCGTACCGTAGTAACCGCAGGGTCGTGTTTTGTTTTTGAACAGACCACTGGCCTGGTGGGATTGGCGGTATGTGAGACCCCCCAAGAGGTAGGTACCTCGTTTCTTCCTGCCTTCCGGCGATCCCTAGAAGACCAGACTCCAACGACCTTGTGAATGCCCTTGGGGTTACCCCGGCATCCAGATGTTGGGGGGCACACAATTACATCCCTGGGTCTGGTCGCGAGACAAGAGTCATGACGTTGATCTTACCCCGTCTGCCTTGCCAGGACCTCTTTCACAGTCCACTTTGCTTGCTCACCTTTTCCGTGGAGTTTTCCTGCCTTCGACTCTCATTTCTGGGATCGCCCAGGGCCACCCTCGGCCGTGCAATCATTCCCACCCTGCAGGGCCAAGTAGAACTGCTCCCCACGGTTTCGAGGCTGTAATTCGTAGGGAGCACCCAGCCTTCTCTTTCCCTTGCTGAGCGACTGTGTATTAACAGCCCAACAGGCAATGATCCACTTAGTGAAGGAGCTCCCAAATCGATGCCTCTGTTGTGCATTCCACACCCTCCCCACTATTTTTTGCCTGGGTACCTCAAATTTCATACTTGGGTCTACTAAAGGTATGGCTTTGGCACTTTGCCCCCATTTATTGCATCACTGGTTTTTCCCATTTAGTGAGTTTCCCCGTCTCTCCATTAAAATACAAACTCTCCCTTGATTCTTCTTCTTCCCTTGTGATTACTAATGTAATAGTAATCACGTTATTTAGCTAAGTCTGCCCATTTATAAATCACGCCAAAGCGTTTTCGGTACTTAATTGTCTCCAGTTTATCTTCTGTTTCCCCTTGAACACATCCCAGTTATGTTTGGGAGAACTGCTTTGGTCAAGGTCACAGTGACGTCCATGTGGTTAAATCTAATGGTCAATTCTCATTGCTCACCTCAAGTGGCCCAATAGCAACACTTGACATATTTGACATTTTCTCTATCAAGTACTATTTATTTCATAAACTGTATTTCTGGACATTGCAGTCTATTGTTTTCTTTTTCCTATATACTTTTAACTTCTTTCAGGTTATTCTTTATAACCTCACTTTTCAGTTCACTTTATTTTCACTAGTTAACCTTATTAAGGAGCCCTAACGATGCTGTGGACTAGGAATTGGATTGCTAACCTTGAGCCTAGGGCTCAAACTCACCAGCTGCTCCCTGGGAAAAAGATGAGGCTGCCTGCTCCTGTAAAGATTGATATTTTCAGAAACCCTACATAGCCCTGATATGAATCAGAATCAACTTGATGGTGGTGTGTTAGGTTTTGGAAGATTTTACTGCATTGTTTCTCTGTATAGATCTTGATGACTATACTCAACTATAGATGGTTCTAAGTACCATCTATACAATGATGACTCAGATTTCCATGTCAAACAATGATTCTCCACTTAGGAAGGTGTGTTTTTAATTGCTTAGTAGACATCTGAGACATACCAGAAGGCTCTTAGAAAAATTGAATTAAAACATAATAGAATTTCTCAACAAAATTTTTGAAGTCCTTTCGTGTATGTGTGTGTGAGAGAGAGAGAGAGGGAGAGGGAGAGGGAGAAATGCTTTTTTAACAAACAGATATGGGTCTTTTTAAAAATCTTTAATACATTTTTATTTCATTAAATATTCCATGTTTAATGGGTGGAAACTTGTCTGATTTGTCTTCTCAGAGACTAAGAATATTATACACAAAGATCCTTGATGTTCTTGATCAAATCCCTAAAAATGCGGCATATAGAAAGTATACAGAAGAGATTACAAATGAGAAGCTGAATATGGTTAAAATGGTAAGTAGCTAACTTGCATTTGTTCTCTTTAGTTTCTGGTACCCATTGCAAAAAATTCAATTGTTTAGTTTTTGCATAATCTGCGTTTTTTCTCTCACATTCATGGTTCTTCTATTTTCTCACTTTTATTCAGCCAGTTCCTGTATGTTGAGTGCCTTGTCTATGCAGGACCTTCTTAAATACTGTGGTATAAGACTGAGACCGAGTCCCTGCTTTGAAGATCTTTTTAACTCTCTTCCCTTTCGCATTTTGTATCATTCTTTTGCTTCTTACCAAATTCACTGCTATCACGTGGATGCCGACACATAGCAACCCTGTAGGACAAGGTAGAACCACCCCTGTGGGTGTCTGAGACTAACTGTTTACAGGAGTAGAAAGCCCCTTCTTTCTCCCTTGGAGCAGCTGGTGGGTTAGAACTGCTGATGTTGCAGATCACAGTCCAACTTGAAATCACCACACCACCAGGGCTCCATATTACCTATAGAGATATCAACCTTAATCTCTCTCCTGGAGTCTCAGAGTAGAGAGGAATAAAGCAAAACAAAATCTTTTGTATTGTATTTAAAGAAAACTGAAATAACTATTTTTGAATGAGCTTCATGGCCAAACGAGGAGGAACACTTGGGGTTGTCTTGCCGTTGTGCGCCGGTGAGTAGATTCTGAATCATAGCGACCGTATGGGATGGGGTAGAACTGCCCCACAAGGCTCCCAAGACTGTCATGTTAATGGAAGCAGACTCTGCTACAGCTTTTATCGAGTGGCTGGTGGTTTTGAATCGCCATTCTTTTGATAGCAGCAGAGCACTTAACCACTGTGCCACAAGTGCTCCTAATTACTCATAAATTTCAATTATTATCAAAGGCCTTATCTAGAAACATACAGTGAACCCTCGTTTATTGCGGTTAATCGGTTCTAGACCCTACCGTGATAAATGAAATTCCGCGAAGTAGGATTCCTTATTTGTAAATCAAATATTTTCGTAGTTAGAGCATAGAGGACATGAAAAAACACCCTTTAGTCACCATTACACTCGTATTACCCAATTTATTAAACGAAAAAGGGAAAATACAGTAAAACATTTTGGACGTTACAATTATCATTTATTATTTATTATATTATTTATGGCATCTAGTTTACAGTATTACATATTTCACATACAGTATTATTATACATAGTCCTTACAAATACTGTAATCAATAGCCTATGAAATGACTTAAGGGATGTACTCTACAGGTGGGTCGCTGTCTTTTTCCTCTGAAGGAGCGGGTGTAGGCAGTGGGTGCTGTTATGCAAAAACCGCGATAGAGTGAAGCCGCGGAAGTCGAAGCGCGAAGTGGTGAGGGTTCACTGTATACAATATGCTTGATCACCATACTTTTTTGAACTGTCATTAAAATTTCATACTATTATTTTAAAGACATTTTATAATTATCCAAAGTAGTGTTCATATGCCCTGGAAATACCTGCATGCATAATTGATACATGCTTCTTACATTAACATATACTTTAGCCTCCCCGGCTCCCCCCCCCCCCAAAAAAAAAAAAAAGGAGACGTGTTCTTCAGGATATAGCAAAACTAGAATCTGATCTGGATCTTTTATTTTTAGCTCAGCAATTCTGGGAGAAATTGGCAGATGAAAGGGAATGTGCCTATTCCCTTTGATTTTATGTTTTCCGTAAGAAAAATGGCCTTTGTGTTTTTTCTCATTACGAAGAAGCTTCTTTTTTTCCTTTATAAAGTGGCTCTCTTAAATATTACTCCAGTTCCATCGATTACAGCCTTCGTGTTGTGCAGCCATTCCTCCCCTCCTTCCGGTGTCATTCGTCTGCACTCACAAGAAGCCACCTCCTCCTCACGTTCCTGTCTTGCTCTGTCTAGTCACTGCTGCCAATTTGATCCCATATAGATATTAAAGATCTTACGGTTTAAAGGGATTTTTTTTTTAACACTAGTGAAACTAAACAATTGTTTGCTTTTAAGAGGCATCAGGAGATATTTTTGGGTTTTGTTTTGAAGATTACCCTCGGCAGTAGTTTCAGGGACTCTTGGCTGTTCTTCCTCTGCCTTCATTCTCAGTGACTTTATTCCCATTCAGTCATCATCCTCTGTGATCTTTTTAGCCTCTCCCATCTTATTTGCATTCTTGCTATAACCTCAAGCTCTATCTAGCCTGTTCTCATCTTAAAACAAAAAGGGGAAAAAAAAAACCCCAAAACTGCATCCTTACATTCTTCTTCATTGCCCTATTTACTTCTCTCTTTTATATCCAATGTTAAGTACTGTCATTATCTTTTATTACTTGAAAAGTCCATATCTGACCCAAGATATTTCAGTACCCTCTCCTAGAATTAGCTTAAGGAGTTCTAGTAGTTAAGATGAAGCATGCTGGGTTTATAAACAGACAAACAAATTATTAACATCGATCCTCTAGCTGTTGCCTTGATCCCTAAACATAGCAACCATGGAAGATAGGGTAGAACTGTCCCATAGGGCCTCCAAGCTTCATTCCATATAGAAGTGACTGTCACATCTCTCTCCAGCACAGTAGCCAGTAGATTCCAATCCCTGACCTTTTTGTTTTCCAGCTGAGCGATAACCACTGTATTAGAGCTGCTTTAGGCGTCACCCAACAGGCGATGCTGTATGTGTTGGCCTAACAGCAAGATCAGCAGTTTGAATCCACCAGCCATTCTGCAGGAGAAAGATGAGGCATTCTGCTCCTATAAAGATTTACCACCTCAGAAACCCACAGCAGTAGTTGTACCCTGTCCTGTAGGGTTGCTATATGTTGTAATCAACTCAACAGCAGTAGGTTTGGTTTTGGGTTTGTTCATTCCATTTGTACATGATAATGCAGATGCATGTCTCCGTAGATAAGAAAGCCTAATTTACCAGGAAATAAATTAGTATCATTAAATGTGGTAGGTACCATGTTATACTAATTAGCATTGGTTACTTTCAACTTCAAAAATATTTTTAAACATATAACATATCAAAAGAAATAGTAAGAAATCATAGAGTTCTATGGACTTCCACAAACCCTCAAGCTCTCCCTCCTCCAAAGCACTAGTCCTCCAAAGGTGATTCCTCTTGTGACTGCCAGCACATAGGTTTGTTTGACCTGTTCTTAAACTTCACTTACTCTTTTGTGTTGCTTCATCTGCTGAATATAACATGTGAGAGTCTTTCATGTTGAGTTACAGTCTAATTGTGCATTGTATTCTGTACCCATATATCATAATTTGTTGATCCATTCTCTTAGAGGGTGTTGTGTGGATTGTTTCTAGTTTGGGCTTATAGTGCTTTTTGTTATTATGAGCATTCTTGAATGTTGTTCGGTTAACCTACTAGGCATTTCTGATACACATCTACACCTAGGAGTGCAACTTCGGGGCCATCGGAAATTATTCATAATTAGTGCTAATGCATTTAGGAAGTATAGGACATGCTATGAAAAATAAAGTGATGTGAAGTGGTATATAGAGATTATTTTTTAGTTCTGTGTTTTAGAAAGGCTAAATTAGGCATCATATTTCCTTTGGATAGCTTGTCAGTAAGCATTTAACACTAATATTGTACATGGCTTAAAGTTAAGACAGAGTAATAATGTAATGGAGAAATGAAATGAAAGTTCACAACATATTTGGTATTATTAAGAATATTGAAAAAAAAAGAATATTGATAAAAGGCAAATTATTTAAGTGCTGTTTTTAAATGAATATTTACTATGAGATTTGAAAGATGAGATATGCTTTATTTAAATGTTTTGTTTTTTTTTAATTTCTTGAAATTATAGGAATCTGATGTTAAAAGATTAGAAGCCCAACTTCAGGGTGGACAAATTGAGGAAGTGATTTTACAGGTAAAGAAAAGAGTTGTATATATTAATGTTTTTAATAGGAGATGCTCATTTTATGTAGAGGCACAAAACAGACTTTTGAGGAAGGAAAAGTAACTTTATTTATATGGAAGTGTCAATTTTTTTTTAAAAAGCATAAATACATAAAGAGAGGCCAACACACCCAATATGTTTGCTCTGTCAGATAATTTGTCTTTCATTGACGATAACCTGTGTTTATGAGGCTTCTCATAGAAGTTTAGAATTTACTCCTTTAATTTAATCATCAAAATCTTGTTAGTCTTATTTTAGTTTAAATTAGCACAATATTACTTGTATTTTAATCTATCTTTGTAGATAACAGTGCTGATTTGCATAAAATCTTGATATATTTCTAATTATGGAAAAATACAGATACCTTGAATCATGAACTTAAACTGTATGTTTATTTTTGGTTGTTGGAACTTTTGGCCACATTAACATTCACTGGAGAAAAAAGCAACTTTTATTTGTAAAGTAAATTTGAGAGCTTAATTGTATTTTATCCCACAAGTATTAGCACTGACAAATAATTTTATTAAATGATAAAGTTTAATTTTGATTATGAAAGGAAGACTTTTATTGGGAAAATTATGAATGTTCTAAATTACATTTTGAAAATTACTCTGAACTCTTTACAAACCTTTGTTTCCTTCTTGCTTTAGCCACAGAGTATATAAGGGGGGGAAAAACCATAAACTGGTTTTAATTTTGCTTAGTCTCCATTTTTATTCTTTCCTCTTGCCCCTAAATAGGCAACAGAGATTAATAGGCTCTTTTGAAAAAGACAGTGGCAACTGTCTTTTTGCATAGAAGTTTACAAGTTTGCTTGATATAATTGATTTATGGATTGTTATAATATCTGTAAGAGTCCCCAATAAAATCATTAAAAAAATTAGTAAACTAGGAAAAGAATTGTTTTGAATAATAATTCCATAATATCCAGCATGTTTTATTTTTATATAAAATGCATATACATATATTTTGTATTAATTAGCATAAGTTATTAGTTTAAGGTAGTCATAATTAACATTTTTCTTTGCCTTAGATTTAGATAGGTTATCATTATTGGGCTGGGTTTGTACTAACACAGGCTACATGCTAAAACTAGCTATCTTGTATAAATTTTTGAAAGCAATGTCTTTTTCCTTGTTTACTTTATATAATTTTAAGAGCTGAATATGCAACAGAGCGACATTTATTAAGTGAAACATGATAGGAAAAGAAACCCTCAAACTCACTGCTAGTGACCTGTAGGGTAGAGTGTAACTGCCTCTCTGGCTTTTCGAGACTGTACATCTATATGGAAGTGACGGCCTCATCTTTCTGCCGTGTAATGGCTAGTGGGTTTAATCTTCAGACCTTGTTAGCAGCTCAGTGCCCTGCCCACTGCACCACCTGGGCCCCTTGAAATATGGTAGATAGCCTAGAAAATAAGAATTGAGTCAAGGGATCTAAGAACAGGAATGGGGGTGAGACTGTCTGACTTTCCTCTCACTTCCCAAGGGGGAGAGCATTGCCATCAGTTGCATGAGGCAGAGATCAAATACCTTCACCCTCCAACAGTCTTTCCAATTCTGACAGCACCCTCCCTCCAAGGCACACAGCTGGATTCTAAAAATGATTGCAGTGGCCACACAGAATTCACACACCATACTCACGGTAATGGGGTTTATTAGGGAAGTGAATAGACCACAATTCAAAATCAGAAATACTCAGAATACAGTTCCTTGGTTAGGACAGTCTTTTATCCATTCCTGCAGAGACAATTCTCTGGTACTTAGCCTTTCAGCCAAATGCCACCCTGGCCTCTGCCTTGCTTGGCCAGTGATAAGCAGAGCTCTTTTAGTGCTGCTGATAAATGCCCAAAGGGCATGTCAACTTGCTGTAAGCCTCAGCCTTGAAGGTGCTCAACTATAGCTCCAGGGGTTATCATAGAGGAAGTTCAAAGTATAGCAATCTCAGTTCGCAGGATGCTCTCCATTCCTGGTTCTTCTTTCTTGATAACAATGAGATTCCCCCTTTCCACTTGCTGAGCTTCAAAAATCCCAAAGTCACTGCCATGGAATTGATGCGGACTCATAGCAACCCTAAAGGGCAGAGTAGACCTGCCCCTGTACATTTCTGAGACTGTAACTCTTCACAGGACTTTCTCCTGAGGAGCGGCTAGTGGTTTCGAACTGCTGATCTTGGAGTTAGCAGCCCAACATGTAACCACTATGCCATCAGAGTTCTTGAGCTGGCGTTTTTGAAACACAGCAGTCTGGCAAAACTGAAGAATCCCAAGTTTTTGCAAGCACATTTAGCCCTGTTAACAATCACTCACAAATGAATCACATAGTCCTGTTGGCATCTTTCCCACCTTCTCTTATGCAGACCCAAGATGCAGAAGTCATTTTATAGAAGTTAACAAAGACCAGAGTTAGAAGAGCCATATTGATTTACTGTATCCCAAATACTTAAGACCTTTTTACTTAATAGAAACTTTTGTTATAAAAATACTTCAGTAACATTACAGATGTTTATAAAAATACCTTTGGTTTTTTTGTTTTTTGTTCTGAGTATTTCGTTAAGAGCAGTATTTTGATGTAAAATTATTAATTGAAATGTCTTTTTATGTGAGTAAAATTCTTGGTCCATATGTGGGTTAGACTTTGGGCTGCTAAGACAGCAGTTGAAACCTATTAACTCCTCCACGGTAGAAAGATGAGGCTGCCTTCTCTGAAAATTTAGAGTCTCAGAATCCTTTATAAGGTCCCTATGAGGCAGATTGACGCAGTGGCTGTGGGCTTGTGTTTGGTCAGTACCTACCAAGTTTGTGCCTAACGAGAATAATTTATAGTGAGTGTCACAGCAATGGTTCCAAATACGTTTTAACATACTTGTGCTACGTGAGAGCTTCAAAAAGTGTGTGAAAAGTCCCATTATCTTTACATTCCATTTTTCTGAGAACTTAATGGTTCAGTGCTCAGCTGCTAAGCAAAAGACTGGCAGTTTGAACCCAGCAGCCACTTGACTGCAAAAAGAGAGACCAGCCTCTCAACATCGCCGGCTGGGAGAGTCCCCGTGCAGGTTTGCTCCCTCCTAGAGGGTCACTGCACGTCAGATGGACTTGATGGTAATGGGGCAGTTCATATATGGTCAGTGCTTCTCAGATTGTGAGTCTTGGCCAATTAGTGGGTCATGAAATCAGTTTTGTGGGATATGACTAGTTATTTTCAAATGCATTAGAAAATAAAGGTAGAAGGGTAAGAATTGTATTTTTTTAAGTCTAGTGTGCATCTGCGTGAGGAGAGGTTAACTAAAGTCTGAAAACCACTGCCATAGACGGAGAGAACCTAGAGGCTAATGATGAAATAGATCAATATTCACAACTCATCAAACTAGACTTGGGAGCACTCTAATTACAGCAGATGGCTCTCAATGAAAAGTGCCCCTATTCCTTCTTTCTCAGAATGATTGTGTAGCACTGAGGATAAGGAATGCTCAGCCTCAGACAGTGAAAGAGCTCATCAGGTATTAAAAGTAGTATCTTCTGGTAGTTACATTTCCAGTCATCACTATAAGTAGTTCTAGAACAGGATGGTAATATGATCTCTCAAAACATTTGTATTAACAGGCGGAAAAGGAACTAAGTCTGGCGAGGAAAATGATCCAGTGGAAACCGTGGGAGCCTTTAGTGGAAGAGGCCCCTGCCGATCAGTGGAAATGGCCAATATAACCCTCCTTGTGTGATTTTACTGTGCTGACGGGAAACTGGTATAATAAAATATTCTGTTATATGACTAAAATGTTTCCGTAGTACTAACACCTTAAAATCAAGGAAATTGAGATTAGAAGCCATTTAGGAGACTTATTAAAATTAGTGATTACTTCACAATTATGATAATAGGGACTTATGAATCAAATTTTAGATGGTAAAGCATTCGCTTAAATTGTTACAAAGATGATACTCTTTAAATGGAGAGCTTACAGGGACGATTGATGTGTTGCATGGGAAAAGCTACGAATCTTCAGAGCAGAGGCCGGAACCAAAGGCGGAGAGCTGTGGTATTGACTTCAACACCTCATTGACCTTTTTCAGTTATGCTAGAAAAGAGAAGGGATCCTTAATTGCTATTGTGTCAGCAAGTTCAGAGATCACTCCTTGCAGTGAATTAGTACAAGTCAAAAATATTTAAAAGTGCCAAAATTGTGACAGTAATTGGTGATAAAACTAAATTGTGGTTAACCTCTTTGGCTTTGTTCATGTAAAGTAAAATTTAAATACACTGATGACCAGTTAAATTAATCTGGTGTTTCTGTCCTTCAGAGATACTGCTTATATGCCTCTATGCTCATGTGTCCATGTGGGCAGATGTGTTTTGCTCTCTCATCTAAGAGAGCAAAATGAGACAGAATGAGAAGAGAAAATCTGTTTTCCTCTGTTCCCAGTATTTCTCTCTGTAGAGCTGTCAAGGGAATGATCGAGTGACAGGAGAGTTGCTTTGCAGGGGTCCCGTTCCCGTGGTTCCAGCACCGTCCACTTGAGCTTACCCTCTCCCTAGCCTGTGCGTTTCTGTTACCGTGAAAGAAGGGGACTTTATGATTTATAACTCCTATTACAGTTCTAAATGTTGGCGTGAATATTTACTAGCAGTTATATGAGTGATCCTGGGTGGTACCAACGGTTAATGCACCTTGGTGCTAACTGAAAGGTTGGAGGCTCAAGCCTGCCTAGAAGTGCCTCAGAAGAGAGGCCTGGAGACCTGCTTTAGAAATAAAGCCATTAACCCTCTGGAGTAGAGTTCTACTCAGACAAACTGGCTCCTCACCCGTTGGCATGGACCCGGAAGCAAGTGGTTTACAGCATGCTTGAGCAGGGATGGTTTCAAGGTGAGTCCCTAACCACCCTTTCAGAGGTGCTCTGAGCACATGAAGACAAGGAGAGCTTGACTGTCCTTCTCAGGCTTTCATACCCATTTCCTTCAGGTGACGGTTCCATTAAAAGCTCAGTAGAGGAGGTGTAGGGTCAACAGTTATAAAGACAAAAATACAAATAATGAGTGAGATGGAAAGGACCCCCATCAACATTCAAAAAGCCAGGGAAGAAGTTTATGTCATGGAACAAGTAAGAGATACTTACACCCAGACCAAACTCAGGTTGGGTCTATAGGGAGGTCAACTGGATTGTTCTGCGACTTTGAATTGGCCAATAATGGTCTACTATCCCAGGCGTGGCATTCATCAATCATCACAGAGAGAATTTCAACATCTACCCTGAACACCAACACTCAGTAACGGCATAAAACTCAAATTCACGCAACCACCACTAACGGCAAAAGGAAAGCAATGAGAGATTTTTACCAATATCTGAAGTTTGAAATTGACCAAACATGCAATCATGAAGCACCGACAATTCCTGGTGATTGAAACGCAAAACACTGATGTTTGGAAAAGAAAGTTAAAACAACCTCACTATCGGCTAGTAAGTTCTAGTCATAGTGACCCCATAGGACATGGCAGGCTGGCCCCTGTGGGTTTTTGAGGCTCTAAATCAGCGGTTCTCAACCTGTGGATCACGCCCCCTGTGGGGGTAGAACGACCCTTTCACAGGTCGCTTAATCCATCCTGCATATCAGATACTTAAACTATAATTCATAGCTGTAGCAAAATTACTGTTATGAAGTAGCAACAAAAATAATTTTATGGTTGGGGGTCACTACAACATGAACTGTATTAAAGGGTCGTGGCATTAGGAAGGTGGAGAACCACTGCTCTAAACCTATGTGAACAGAAAGCCTCACCTTTCTCCCGCGGAGTGGCTGGCGGGTTTTGAACTGCACACCACCTGAGTTGTCATAACCCACTCTATCAATAGTGTTCCTAGAAGAAGGGTTCCAAAAACCAAATCAACTGCCAGGGAGTTGATTCTGAATCACTGAACTACTGTGCATTTCCAAGGTAGTAACGGTTTCCAAGAGTAGAAAGCCCCGTCTGTCTCCTGAATAGCTGATGGTTTTAAAGTGTTGTCCTTGCGTTAGCAGCTCAAGTTTGAAATTTAGCTTCGGTGACAGAAATGACAACAGATTGCATGATAGAATTTTACAAGGCCAATGACATTTATTAAAAATAAGTTTCCACAACATAAAGTGGCTAAACTCTTAGATGTTGCCACATGGGATGCACAAGAATTCAATCAACTGTACCTGTGGAAAGAGATCATATGGAGAAACTCAATATCATCTTTGTAACTCCCACCCAATGACTGGGTGGGATGCGAGCAACAGCGTGAGTAGGATTAATATGAGGGGAATGGGCATAGTTTTGTCATGGTGGTTATCAATATTATTAGTGAATATGATTAATAGATATATAATAATATCAATACATGAATGTTAAAGCAGCACAATGCTTAATAACTTACTATGCCACTGGGTCCCCTGAATATGCTATGGAATTCATACATTTAGCATACCATGCATTGGTAATAATGAATTTTTAAAGTAATCCTTAGGTTTACCACAATTGTTACTCATTTTTGTGAAACATTTCTGAAGGTAAACATTTCTGAAATATTACTATTTTATGACAGAATACTGCATCTTACTCTATAATGTAGGAGTTTGATTCCTTTTTAAGTGTAACATAAGCCCACAATCTTGTATCCGCAATTCCAGTTTTCAGAACTCTTTTAAAAGGATGATTTAAGAATATTTCATTTGGAAGCCAAGCCTGACCAAAACTGGCATGAGGTTATTTATGGTCTTTATCCCACTTGAGTGTGAGTCTTAAGACATTTGATCCTGTTCTACTTCCCAGCTCCTTGAAAGGTGTGGTAGTAATGCCCTTACTACCTTTCTAAAATCTGAGGATTCCTGAATTCCAAACACAGTTTCAGCAAAGGGACCGTGGGTTTGTATTTCTAGTCTTTTCACAAGCTTACAAAACATTATTATGATCCAAATTTACACTAATTTCAGAAAGCACAATATTCAGGTCCTTAGTTTTCTAAAGTGCTTTACTGATTGATTTTTCTAATGCATTATTTATATAAAAATAACATTTCATTCTGAAGTACGTAACACCAAACTCTGATAGGCCTGATTTCATGAAGCCACTAGGTGGCAGTGTTTGTAAAAAGATTTACAACATGCTTATGTAATCCTGCGATTAAATAAAGGTAGGCGTTTTATAAGACAATTTAATTTAGGGAATACATTCTGAAAAAATACATTTACTTGTTATGAAATGTAAAAAATGTAAATTCTTTTGTAAAATTACTCCTTTTTCCTATTGTTTTATTGATGCTTGCACTACATGTGTTTCGTGTAACCGAAAAAAAACCCCCAAAACCTAATGTATATGTGTGCATGTGCCTATGTGTGTATATGATTTTTATATGGTGGTGACTTTTCCAAGCAGCACAGACTGCCCAAAACTCAAACCAAACTCTCTGCTATGGTGTGGATACCATCTCATAGCCACCCTGTAGGACAGAATAGAACAGCTCCTGTAGGTTTCTGAGCCTGTAAGTCTTTACACGAGCTGACAGCTTTATCTTCTCCCGCACAGACCAACCAGGAAGCCAATTAAATGAGGCTCCTATTATAAGGTGGAATTGTATAAGCTACCTCTGTAGCCAAGTTTAAAATATGAACATGTAGTGCTATCAGACCTCCTGTTAACACTGAAGTACTTGACGTTCTGCACCTCCAGTCTTTCTTCCCTGCACCTGCTCCCCTTAAGCCACAACCTGGCACGTTCTTGCTATCCCTCTCAGAAGACAACCAGTGATTAATTTCATCCCCCCTGCACGTTTTAAAAATATTGAAAGGAAGACTCAGAAAGTTAAGTGTTAAAATCAAAGGGATTCTCGTGACGAGTAAAGTATAAGGCACGTTTCATTTTGAAGATGGAGAAGGGAGAGTTGAGGGAGCTCTCCTTTGCATGTATCACATCTGATCTACCCATGAAAGATCAATACCAGTAGTGGTCTATCTACAGGCCTTTTGGGGCCTGCTAGTCCAGTCTTCTGGAATGTCTAGAAGTAATTAAATGGCATTTAATTAATTTTATTTTATTTTGTCAAAGGCAGAAAAATTGACCAGAAAAAAAGACAATCCCATGAGTCCCGACTCTCACAAGCTTTACTGTAAATGCAAACGCTAGCCTTGGCTGTACTACATATCAGTTAAGCATTGGGCTGTTAACCACAAGGTCAGGGTTCAAACCAACTCACCAGCTGTTCCCAGGGAGAAAGATGAGGATGTCTGCTCCCAAAAAATTGACAGGGGAAACTGGATGAGTTTTTTCTGTCTTAAAGACGCTATGAGAGCGTGCTTATGAGATAGCTCTCTAAGATAGCCCTCCACGAGGAACACTGGTGAGGATCTTTCCCCAACGCTTTACTGTCTCTTGAAAGCTCACAGAGTTTACCTCAGGGCTCAAGTCTGCTTCCCTGGTCCTACAAAGGGAATACTCTGTAGCCCCATGTCTCTTTCTTCTGGCTCCCATGACTCTAAGAGCTAAATTCTAAACTTTACAAGATCAATCGCATCTACCACTGTACGCGCTCGTCCTGCCTGTCACCTCACAGTTACAATTTCTCGGATTCTGATTCCTAATATCTATAAACAAGCAATTGCAGGAGATACGTGGCTTGGAGAAAAGCGGTGGTCAGCCGCTCAGCGGCTCAGGGCCCTTCGTGCCCCGCCCATCGCCCCGCCTCCCCCTGCTCATTGGCCCAGCCCTTCGTGCTGCATGCCCACCCTTCCTCCTTGTTCTGTTGCCCCTCCCACTTGTGCGACGTAGCCCCGCCCCTCACCCTGCCGATTCAATCCTCGGCGCGGGCACAGCCTCTTCTCTAGGGGGCGGTGCCCTGGCTGGAGGGGGCGGTTCCAGGGCCGTTGCTAAGATACCGCCGGCAACAGAGACGTCGGTACCCACCCAGCTTCGCCAGGGCTAGAGGGACGGTTTCGGCTGAGTAGCCGTTGTTGTTTCGCCGTCAGGTAGGAGGAGAGATTCTGAGTCCTCTGAGCCGGTGGTTCTGGACTCCGAGGAGCACGTGTGGATCTGATCCCGCCGGGGCTCTGGGGCCGCTTGCGCGGTCGGGACTCGTCCACCTGCGCTTTACCAAGTGTGCAGGTATCTCATCTCCCCAGGCTCCATTTCTGGACCCGCCGCTGGCGCTGGACAGCACCTGCTACCCGAGGCTTAAGAAGCAATAGTGTCCAAGCAAGAGGTGTGGGCAGGCCAGCGCCCTCCCTGGGAGGCGTTTAGCTACGGTGGTGACTCCCCTGCCGTAATACCTGGGGGGGGGGGGCTCGCGGGTTTTGCGCAGCCCGCCCTCTTGGCCGTGCTTCTTAGAAAGCCCGACCATTTGTTAGGAGGCAAGGCTGGATCCCTACTTAAACTGCACAGCCCAGGTGTTTCTTACCATAGCTAGAAGTGTAGCCATACATTATATGTAAAAAAGAGGGCTCTTTTTGGCATCCAATCATATCGGAAACTCCACTTTTCCCCCTTTATTTTTAAGGTTAAAAACAATGCACAACTCAATAGGTAATACATATACGTATAAATTATTTTTTTAAGTTCAAACGATTAAAATCATGAACAGTGAAACCTTCCTCTCACTCATACAAATCCTCTGCCCCTTCCCCACCCCCCAGCCCACCTTAGTCCCAGCCCCAGTCCCGCAGTTCAACTTCTCAGGTGTTCTGTGTAGATGTATGAATATACAGTTGTAGCTCTAACAGTGTTAACACTGTGCTTTGTTTTTTCTACTCAACAACGTTGTATATTTTGTCGCTAGTATTCTATCAGGATTCACAGATCTGCCTTTTTATGTGTTGTGTGTGTGTGCATCTAGGTTTCATTGTGAGAAGGTGTTTCTAAGCATATCATAAAATTTGGAAAAACCCATAAGCAAAAAGGTCAGTACATTTCATCACCTAAAAAGAAAAAACTTTATAGCTGCATCATGCAAAAGTCACACAATGGGAAATACTTGTACACACAATAAAGAGGTAATTAATTATTAAGATTCACATAAAACAAGATCAAGGTGTAAGGTAGTAAGCAAGGCACTTGTTCTTGGGGTTATCTCATGGTGCTTCCTTTTTTGGAAGAAAATTTGATGGAAATGAGCAATTAGTATATATAGAAATCAAAGGTGTTTTAGGCCAGCTTTGGCATTGGGAAACGTTTAGCCATCCAAGTTGTTGCGGCGTGATTGAGCTGGTTCTGACCTGTGGCAATTCACAACGCCATGGGTTCAAGGTTATTCTTGTGTTTGGTGCCACTGTTGCAGCTCTGTTGCACTATCAGCCCATCTTGTTGAAGACTATGTTTGACAGGGTTCTCTAGAGAAACAAAACCAGGACACTAATAATTTTATATTTATATAGGTAGATAACATAAGAAATAAACAGTTAATCTATAAAGCAGTACAAATGGCTCAGTACAATTCACTTCCGTGAGACAGTTGTGAGACACTGGCAGTCCTTGAAGTCTTGATAGCCGCTGGGTAGTCCTCTGTAGAGCAATTCAGGCCACAGGCAGCAAACAGCAAGGCAGGTAGGTCTCTAACAGTCAGTCAGATGACAGGCTCCGACAGTCCCCTGCTCGAGATGTATATTCCAGTAGCATAGTGAAGCAGGCCTGTAAACAACCTCAAATTACAGTGACACAGTCCATTGGTAGGGTGTCCCACAGGTAATGTAGCTTGAAAATTGAGGCAGAGAACAAGAAGGCAGCTGCACACTGATCCGATGATCAAAGATCAAGAGACAAGAAAGGAGAGGCTCGCCAAGCCATTGATGTCTCTGCCCTTCAATTAATACCACATGTGTTCATTGGCCATGTTGGCACAATAAACCTACCTATCACATAGACCTTCATCTTTTTTGCTGCCCCTCTACTTTACCAAGCATGATGCATTTTTCAGGGACTGATCACTCCTGACAACATGCCCAAATTACATGAGATGAAGCTTCACCATCCTTTCCTCTAAGGAGCATTCTGGCTGTACTTCCAAGAGAGACTCGTTTGTTCTTTTGGCAGCCCTTGGTACCTTCAGTATTTTTCTCCAGCCCCGTAATTCAATTGCATGGATTCTTCTTTGATCTTTCTTCAATGTTCAACTTTCACATGCATATGAAATAGCCGAAAGTATCATAGTTTGGATCAGGCACACCTTAATTCTCAAAGTAATATATTTTCTCTTCAACACTTTAGAGCAGGGGTGTCAAACTGGTGGCTCCTGAGGTAATTTTTTGTGTCCCGTGATGCTCTGAAATAAAATGAAAATAGAAAAAATTGCCGTGAAGAAAATAGCACATAGAGGAGATCGAGGCAAAACCCTACACACAATTCCCTTGTTACATTTTAATTCAGAGCATCTTGGTCCACAAAATATTACCTTGGGGGCCTCATGCGGCCCGCGGGCCCTCAGTTTGACACCCCTGCTTTAGAGGGAGGCCTTATGCAGCAAATTAAACCAATGCAATGAGTCATTTGATCACTTGACTGCTGCTTCCATGAGCATTGATTGTGGATCCAAGCAAGATGCAATCCTTGATAACTTCCATCTTTTCTGTTTATCAGGTTACCTATTCATCCAGTTGTAAGGATTTTGGTTTTCTTTATGTTGCGTTGTATCATTTTGAAGGTTTCAATCATTGATCTTCATTAGCAAGTGCTTCAAGTCCTCCTCAATTTCAGCAAGCAAGGTTGTCTTCTGCATATCTCAGGTTGTCGATAAGCCTTCCTCCCATCTTGATGCTCCATCCATAGTGACCATTTTCAGGCCTTAGTACACAAAGGACTTTCGAATTTCACCCCTTGCCCTCCCTCCCACCCCCGACTCTCTCCTTGTGTCCAGGTGTCTACAATCTTTGCTGTGCTTCTTATAGACTTACTAACAATTAAACTGTGCATGCCCTTTGACTTATGCCTTCTAATTCTGGTACTATATGTAACAGTATACTTAACACACATGTAAGAAGATGGAGGTACCAGGTGTTGGTTATAGCATTATTTTTAGTTCTGAAAAACTGGCTACCGTGTAGATGTCTCTTCTAGGGTAGCAGTTGAATATAATGTTGCTTAGCCCTGCCATTAAACTACTGTTGTTGAAACAATTGAGGCAGAATCACATGTTCTGTAGAGATATGTTAACTATATTAAATAAAAAAGCAAGTCGTAAGTACAAGCCCAGGTCCCAAATAGAATGCTCATCTAATCTCCTTCCACCCCCAAATCCCCCACCTGCCGGCAAACCTACTTTACTTACAGTGTCCAGTTACTCACTATATATATAAAGTTTTATTGGTACCTCATCCGCATATTAATAGTTCAGTAGTTCACACAATTCAATAGTTCAATCATATCAAGAAGAATTGCACAATCTCAGCCTACTAATAGTGGAGGTAAACTGGGTTCTTCTCTTTTTGTCACAGCGCCACCTGGAAAACCTAAGCAGCATCTGACTGCTCTTTACCTTCTCCTCCACTACCACCTTGCTCCACGTCACCGTTTACTCCTGTGGGTTCCTGAGAGAGCCCCCCAGTCGCCCAATGGAATGTAGTCAGTGAGCTCCTCCTCTCTCCCTTCAGGAGAATGTCTGATCAGGAGAAGTCCAGCGCTCAGCCTATGAGTGATGCCTCGGAGGAGACCAGTGATGCTTCGGGGATTGTCGATATTCCAACTTCCACAGAAGAGCCTCCGGAGTCCGATGTCTCAGAGGAGCAGGACGTCCCAGAATGGCAGTTGTCCAGTGGGGGCCACGAGGCATGGGCTGAGATGCAAAGTGAGCAGGGCGAGCAGAGCTCCAGCAGCCCGGGAAGTGACTATGCCAAAGCCGTCCTGGCACAGGCGGTGGGGGCCCCGCGGGGGTCGTACAGCCCAGCCCCTCCAGAAGAGCACGATTTACCCAAATCCAAGTACCCAATGCGGCCCCCCTCACCGCCTCCAGTCAACCACTTGGCCTTTCTGGATGAAATAAGGACTATTAAGGAGACTTTGAAGTCATCGAGGCAGGAGTCTTCTGCCACAGGTATTGCCTATAGGGGGCACGAGATATTGTCTTCTCTGTCTCTGAAGGGTGGTTGCGTTTTCATGTCTGTTTTCTTAAAGTTCTGCTGTGTTATTTTTGGTGCCACTTGCCTGTTCTCTTACCCGCAAACCTTCCTGAGTTACATTGCTTGAGTCCCGTTAACCCATTATTACTATGAAGGAAAGCTTGCCGGCCTGTATATGACTGATGCCTTTCCCCTCCTTTTTATCTGCAGTGAAAGTTGTGCTCCTTCCTGTGGCCCAGGAAATTATCATGCCTTTTCGAGTTGAAGTCATGTTTAAACACCTCAAGGATTATTTTTCACACTTGTTAGGTATCCCGTCAGATGTACTGCAAATAACATCTTCCGGTAAGTTTGGAGGCTTACTGAAACCTACCAAGAGCTTCTTGACTAAGCACCCTTGACAGTCATGATTTGAATGCTCTATTAGAGTTATGCCAGGAGTCCTTGTGGTGTAATGGTTATTATGCATTAGGCTGTAGTCTGAATGTTTGGCAGTTCGAAACCACCATCAGCTCTGAGGGAGAAAAACAAGGTTTTCTACTCCTATTAATGGTCTAAAAGTCTTAGAAACTCACAGAGGCCATTCGCCCTTGCCCTCCCAGGCCCCTATGAGTCTGCATCCAGTCAATGACAATAAGTTTGGGGATTTTTTTTTTTGTTTATATGTACTGTACTATAAATCATCTCTACAATGCTCTCTATCTGATAACAAGGCTATTCACATCCCTTGACTGTGGCCAGAGGGAATTCACTGGAGGCTTAATCTATGTGTGGACCCTGCAGATGGATTTGGGCTTCCACTATCATTCAGCATCCTGGTTTTTGACATATAACATTTGGAGTGTGATATTGAACCATGAGTAGTATCTGCTATATTGCTAAGCATGGCAAATCCTCCCCCCCATTTTCTAATCACTAATTTTAATTTAAGAAGACCAAATACTTGAAAATTGATGTAGATTCCATCAAGACATGTTTCTGTGGCAAAATGCATCAGTCAATAAGGCTACTACACTTTTAGATGCCTTAAAACAGAGAGAGAAAATTAAAATCAATTTGTAGAATAAACTAGGATAGAGTGGCAAAAAGTGAAGCAGTACAAGATAAAAAAGTATTTTGGCACACAAAAAAATAGTTCTACTTTCTAAGGTCCACCATAAAACCAAACTCCTACTCATCGAGTCCATTCCAGCTCTTAGCAAGTCTGTAGGACACAGGATAGGGGTGCCCGTAGATTTCTAAAACTGTAAATGTGCCCATAGATTTCTAAAACTGTAAATGTTTGCAGGAGTAGAAAGCCATATCTTTCTCTCTCTCAGAAGCTGGTGGATTTGAACTACTGATCTTGTGGTTTGTAGCCACTGCATAACCCACTACACCACCAGGTCTCCTGTCTATAAAAGCCACTAAATGTAGCAATGATGTGAAATGACCATCAGTACTTGTTTAAGTCACTTGGTACTTATGGTGTAAAAACAAAGTCTGCTCTGATTTATTGTAAAAATTGCTCCTAGTGGACTTAAGTAACCACTGTTTGAGAAGTTTAGGAGGATAAACAAAGTATAATTCACACAGAGACATAAAGGTGCCATTAACTCCACATGCAGTTACAAATTCAGCATTCTAACCATGATCTATCTACCTTCCCCCTGACGCACCCCCACCCCCCCACCCCCTGCCCCCAGTCCCAAGCTGATAGTTATCACTATCTTAAAAAAAAAAAAATCTCACTGATGTTGTATGGTTCCAAAGTCATAGCCACTCTATGTAGGGTTTTTGGGGCTGTCAATCTTTATGGGAACAGGCAGCCTCATCTTTCTCCTGAAGAGCGGCTAGGGGATTTGAACCGCCAACCTTCTGGCTAGCAGTCCAATGCTTTACCTGACGGCGCCACCATGCCACCTTAGCATGAATGAATTTGTATCTGTTTCAGTTATAGAAAGAGAAGGAAATGGGTTCCTTGGAATTCTGAGTCTGCTTTCTGTACCTAGGGAGAGATATTAAAAAACAACAACAACCACACTTCCCCAATGTTGTTATGTGCTATGCTTCAATAGAATACGTCCTGGCTTTTTCTAGAGTGGAGTTTTAGAATAAGATTCTGCTCATATTGTAGAGTGTGCTGTTATTTTCAAACATCTACAGAGCTGCATGGCTTTTACATATTTGCATTTACCAAGTGGTGAGGAATGCAGTTTCCTTTCTTTATACTGTTGCCTTCTTGCCCCACGCTCTCCTTGGCACTGGGGAGATCCATGTACTGGCATTGCGGTCAGAGGTGGAAACCACTGATATTATATTTGGTATTAACTGATATGCCTTCATACAAGCACCCTACCCTTGATACTTTCCATCCTCTTAAAATGAGTATGTGTATACACATATACACACCCGTTATTTATTTATCATGAAACTTACTATCACCTTTCTCTCTCCTTTTTTTCAAGGAATAATTCTTAAAAACCACGAGAGCCTTCTCCATCATGGCATTAGGCCCCGGGCGGTTGTACAAATAGAAATCACTTCTAAAAACCCAGATCTATATCCCATCAAACGAATAGCTGCCCTGCGTGAAAGTTCTCAAATCATAGCTGTCAGAGTCGAAACTGGTGAGTTCTTTGATAGATCTGGGATACAGCATGTCAGAGCCTCCCTAGGTGAACTTTGACTCATCTTGGTCTTCTCTCCTCAGCCGTTGATCAGTACCAGGAGGTACCTGTGGAGATTGTAAAATCGGACTTTCACAAACCATTTCTCGGTGGATTCCGACATAAGGTCACAGGAATAGAATATCATAATGCTGGGACGCAGACTCTCCCTAAAAAGATTCCTGCGAAAAACACCGTGTTTTGCAGGGAGACCCAGGTAACACTCGCACTTTTCCTTTTGGTTTCTGAAGCTATCGAACCAAGGATGTCGTTGTACGATCAGAGTTTATCAAATGACATTCTTCTAAATGGTTAGACAGCACTGGAGGCAGTACGTAAGGGGAGGAAGACGGGGCTGCCGACTCCTGTGAAGAGCTACTGTCTCGGAAAGCCACAGGGGCCGTGCTCCCCTGTCCTACGGGGTGGCTGTGTGTCGTGCTCCCCTGTCCTACGGGGTGGCTGTGTGTCGGCATGGACTCGCAGCAGTGAGCTTGGTTTTGGCTTTGAGGTAATAAGTGACATGAACTTAAATCTGTAGGGAAATAAGTCTTTGACTCATTGGTGTTTGCAAATCACGGATGCTTGTTTCAATTTTTCCGATTTTCCTTTAGACCGTTCAGGAGAGAAAAAAGCTCCAACAAACGGTAAACACAACATCGACACAGATGACTAAAATCGGTGTGTACGTGTCAAATATGACTGACAAGCTGGTCACCCCGGGAAAATATTTCACAGCAGCGGAATACCACGCTGAAAGACTGCAGGCGGTAAGAAGGCTTGTCTTGCGGCTGACTCCCACGCGTCGAGTAGACAGGCCGTTTGCTCTGTGTCCGTGTCTGAGCCTGTGTGTCCCTCCCCAAACCTCATTACGCTGGACAACACGACCCGGTGGGTTCAGCTCCATTTCACTGTAATAACAGCCGTCTTTGCCTCCAGTCTCCTCCTGGGATGAAGAAGACACTTCCTCAAATCCCAAGTTCTGTTTGCCTCAGCCGCCCGTTCCCTCCTCCTGCTTCTTTTGCTCATAGCGTTTGCAGTGCAGCGCTCACTATTTGTTGCACGTCATTCTGATTTCAGTCGAGATGATGGATCATTTTGCAGTCTTTCTTGCCATCTCATTCTGTGTGTTCTTACTGCTCATTCGTTTTTAAACTTGTTATTGTCACTTCGATGGGGCTTCACGTATCAGATCCTAATTTTTGTATTCTCCAATGTTAGCAATTTGTCAGCCACCCATTAGCTTGCCATGCGTCCTACCCTTCCCACCCCTGCCATCTCCTTGTCATCGGCTATTATGTTCCCCTTCATCAAGTTGACCCCTGTCAACTCTCTACCCCGTTACTTCCTCTTGCCTGCTTTTCCTTCCCACCTCTGGTAACCATCAAAGCCTGCTTCTTTGGGTCTGATAACCTTTATCTTGTGGCTTTTTCAAAAATGCCGGTAGTCCCATACAGCATTTGCCCTCCTGTGTTTGACTCACTTCACTCGGCATGAAATCCTCCAAATCCATCCATGTCTTGAGGTGTGTCACAGTTTCATCATTGGTCTGTAGTGACGCAGAGTATTCCATTGTGTGTGTATCATAGTTTGCCGTTTATCCAAAGTGATGGGCTGTTCGGTTGGTTCCCTCTTGCGATTGTGAACAGTGCTGACATGAACGTGGGTGTGCATGTGGCCGCTTGTGCTTTGATCCTTATTTCTTTAGGGTACGTACCAAGCAGAGGGATGGCTGGCTTCTAAGGTATTTCTAGTCCAGGTTGTTTGAGGAAGCATATTTCCTACCACAGTGTTTGCACACTTGCCAGTCATTCTTGTTGTTTGATTAGCCCTTAATTTATTAGCAGTTCCTTCAATGTATTGGTGTGGTTCAACTGTTCATTCTCATCTTTTATTCTCAAAACTAAGCAGTAGATTCTTTATTTTTATTTGTCAAATGGTTACTTAAAAATTTCCACACATGAAATATTTACATATCAGATGTGTATTTAGTTAAGCTCCATTAGGTCCTCATACAAAGTCAAGAACTTTTCTTAATTTTCGTCCCTTCTTCCCTGCAAGCTAGGGAAGCTTGTTCCGCTCTCTAGGATAGAGATGGGCGGCCCAGGGGCTGCCTCGATGGACTTGCGCACTAGAACACCTGGGAGCATGGCCCGGCACCAGCAGGGCGTGCTTTGCTGGGCACAGCTCACTATGGGTGGGAAGCCACTGGACGGCACCTAACAGCCACAACAACACAGGGTAGTAACACATCACATGCCATTATGATTTCAGATTGTTGTGTTATATATTTTCACTCATAGAACATGTATTTTAAAAATCAGAATGCATTTATCATCCCTCTTTGTGAGATTTTTGCTTCCTGCTATCGTTTCCCCCCTCAGATATATTGTCCCCGTGGGAGAAACCCGTCTCGAGTTGATTCCGATTCATAGCCACCCTTTAGACAGCGCAGAGCGGCCCACAGGATTTCCAAAGCTGTCATCTTCACGGAAGCAGACTGCCACGCCTGTCTCCCACAGGGCGGCTGGTGTTTCGAACTGCACACCTTTCAGTTAACAGCCCAACACCTACACCACCAGAGCTCCTGACTTGAACATTTTCCCTGCTGGAACGTTTTTATCCCACCCCTGCCCCGAGATTTTCCTCGCAGCAAAGCCATCCAAGTCCTCACTGCCCTAAGCCCTTCTGCGGAATTTCAGTTTGTGTGGGTGTCAGAAGTTAGCTTCAACCTTCTTTCGAAAATAACTTTCCTCCTAACTTTGATGCTATTTCTGATGAAGGGTTTGATGTTAACTCATTTCTTCTTTTCTTTTTCTTCCCCGGAAGCTTTTAGGATTTCCATTTTGTCCCTGGCATGTTGAAACTTCACTGTCATGGGTTTGAGACTGGTTGGGCTCTTGCTGTCTGAACACTCCTGTCTTCCTTTCCATTTAGAAAAGATTCTTGTGGGGTTTTTTTTAGGACTACAAAGCCTTAGAAATACTTAATTTTATTTGTATTGTTAATTGGGATTTAATACATATGTCGTACTATTCCACAGTTCAATAACATCCATCACAATTGCACAATTGTTTGGAGTCATTTCCCTAATCAACTTTCTTCACCCTGTCTGTTGGCACTTGTACCAGACATTATTTGGGAATGTCTGGATGAATCTTCCTTGTCTTTTTTAACTTTCTTTCTTTTAAAAGAAATCATTTTGACCTTCGCCTTGCATTCTAAAGGGTTTCTCACATGACTTTTCAGTTTGTGAATTCTCTTTGTGTTCTGCACATCTGCTGACAGTAGACTGGATTCATCAGAATTCGTGTCCCACCGACAGCCACCGTTCTCCTCTCGGTTGTCACAGAGCTGTGACACCGCTGTGCACACCGCTGACCCCGTGAAGACATTTCATCGTAGCTGTCTTGTATCGTACACGTCAGGTGTGTGACCGAGACCTGGACAACGGGAGGAAAAGGACCGGCACGTGTGCCACTCTGGGTATTGGGAGCAATTGGGTCTCGAGTCTTCTGTTCTCCTCCGCTTTTCCTGGGCATCTGGGATTCACACACAGGAAGCCCTTCCAGAGCTAGACTGCTGCTAAAACCCGTCTTTTAAGTCTGTGTGTTTGATGCCTCGTTACCGCACTTGAGCTAATACCCAGTCTCGAGGTTGTTCATTTTTTAACAATAAAAATAAGAATTCTAGTCGTCACAAGCTTTTGCTTGTGCTTTTATAGTGATTTCATCGCTTGTCCTTTCTGTCTGAGAATGCTGACCGTGGCTACTGCGGTCTTGTTTGCTTTGCTCTAGCAGAGTGCGCAGAGAACTTCAGCATACATCCGAGTCCCCTCAAGGGAGGGCTTTGCTAACTATACTATCAAGTAGTGCGCTTTGCCCCCGAGTTTCTGATTCAATCGGTGTGGAGACTCAGTCTGCCATCCTGACTTAGTCACCCTCTGGGACAGGGTAGAACCGCCCCTGTGATTTGGTTTTCTGAGACTGCGACTATGGGAGCAGACTACCTCAGCTACCCCCCACCCCCACCCCGTTACAGAGCACCTGGCTGGTTCTAATTGCTGACCTTGGTGTTACAAGCCCGATGTATAACTCACTGCACCACCAGGGCTCCTTAGGCCTGGGGTCGGGCCTGAGAGCCTGCATTTCTAGTAGTTTTCCAGAGGATGCTAACCTGCTAGTTGGGGAAATGATACTTCAACGATTCTGTTTCCCATCCCCTGCCCTTCTGGGCTTCGGGGGAGGGAGGAGCTTTCCATTTTGTTGGCTCTTGTCAAATGTTCGTCTGTCCTCAGGTGCATGGTCCCAGGGAATGAATTATACATTGCTAACGTTCAGTATACCGGCAGCATGTGTGTTTACCACAGTTTGACCCCCACAGTCGCAGGTGATGGATGAGGCTGATCCCGGGAGGAGCTAGTTGTCTGGATAAGGGGAACATCTAGCTGTCCAGGGCGTTACCAGCTTTTGGGGACATTAAGGACTCTTGCCTGGGTGTCTTGTGCCTAAATGTTTTAGAGGGGCCTGTCTTTCTTGTGTTTATCCAGCAGTCACCTGAAGACTGTGTCCCCGCTCCCCTACTTTGTGTCAAGCATTCCTCAGTTCAGGGGCTCACAGCAGCCCTGGAGCCATTTCTGAAAACCCTAACTTGCTTCTCTGGGGTGTGCTTGGACTAAAGGGCCTTCAGCAACTGACTCCATCCAACTCTTTTCTTGAGGGGGTTCTTTAAAGTTTTTATTCCTGGTGGGGGGGTGGCCTTTGGTATGATCCAGGTTCTTTATTGGCATCTTTCTGATGGAATGTTCTGCATTTATCCGGCTGAGTGTGAAGGAAGAGGATGTGGCAGCCTCTGTTCCTGTCTGGATGGCAGACTCAGTGAGCTGTATTGCAAACTCTTGGAGGGTCAAGTACAGTGCCCGGGCCCTTCGACAGGACTGATAACCCTCAAAGTGAAATCAGTCCCTTTCTGTTTTCTGAAGCCTCCCTTTGGCTCACCCTGCCTTCGAGCACTCCCACGTAGTTTAGCCACAGTGAGTTTGGGAAATCCAGTTTTGTTATAAGCATGAGCCTAAGCTAATGATAACTAAGAGAAGCTAGACAAGGAATGTTCATAACAACAACGAATATTTACTGGGGACTTGTGGTGGCATTGTGGTTGGTGATGCACTGGGCTGCTAATTGACGGGTCAGCAGTTTGAAACCACCAGCCCCTCCACGGGAGAAAGACGAGGCTTATCTGCTCCTACGAAGAGTTACAGGCCCAGAAACCCACAGGGACAGTTCTACCCTGCTCTTGCAGGGGCGCCGTGAGTCAGAATCAACTGGATGGCAGCGAGTTTGGTTTGGGTTTGAGTTTGTGATAGTCCTGACGCTGGGCTAAGCACTTTGCCTGCCTACTGCTATGGCCACTGCTTCACAGAAAGAGGCACCTGAGAAGGCAAGCGACTGAGCCCAGATCACCCACTAGTGAGTTGCAGAGTGGAGATTCAAACTAGTTTACTGCAGAGCCTGCACTGTTAGGCGTTATACTGGTTGTCCCTCTCACCTCTCAAACCCTGTAACTCCCTTGAATGGGCCATTGGTTGCTTTCAAAGTTAAATAGCTACAGTGTTCCTTATTGAAGGGCTTTGGGTTGTGGTGTATTGTTAGGTTCTAGTGTATTGAGAATATCTGACTTGGAATTAAAACTAGACTCAAAAAAAGATTTTTTTTTCTCAATAGAAATTTAAATCTTTTTTGTTTGTTTTATTTTATTTTTATTAATCATTTTATTGGGGGGGTTCTTACAGATCCTATAAAAATCCATAATTCAACTGTATTTTGCACACTTAGACATATGTTGCCATCATAATTTCCAAAACATTTTATGTCAACTTGAACCCTTGGTATCAGCTTCTCTTTTTTTCCCCCTCCCTCTCCCACCCTCCTGAATCCTTGATGAATTATATATTATTATTTTAATTTCTCATCTTACACTACCTGTTGTCTCCCTTCACCCAAATTTCTATTATTTGTCCTCCTGGGGGTGGGGGTTGTATATCCAAACTTTTGATCAGTTCTTCTCCCCCCCCCTCCCATCCCCACCACCCCGCCTTCCTTCCTGATATTATCGCTACTCTCACTACTGTTCCTGAGGGGTTTATCTGTCCTGGATTCCATGTGTCAAGAGCTTTTATCTGTACCAATGTAAATACTCTGGTCTAGCCGGATTTGTAAGATAGGACTGGGGTCATGATAGTGGGGTGGGGAGGGAAGAAGCATTAAAGAACTAGAGCAGTGGTTCTCAACCTTCCTAATGCCACCACCCTTTAATACAGTTCCTCATGTTGTGGTGATCCCCCCAACCATAAAATTATTTTCATTGCTACTTCATAATTGTAGTTTTGCTACTGTTATGAATCAGGTGACCCTGTGAAAGGGTCGTTCAACTCCCAAAGGGGTCATGACCCACAGGTTGAGAACTGCTGAACTAGAGGAATGTTATGTTTCACCCGTGCTATACTTCACCCTGGTTGACTCATCCCTTCCTTGTGATCCTTCTGTGAAGGGATGTCTAATTGTCTACAGATGGGCTTTGGGTTTCCACTTTGACCCACCTCATTCGCATCAATACAATTGTTTTGGATCTTTTGATACCTGATACCGATCACATTGACACCTTATAATCACACAGGCTGGTGTGCTTCTTCCATGTGGGCTTTGTTTCTTCTCTGCTAGATGGCTGCTTGTTTAACTTCAAGCCTGAGACACTGTATCTTTTGGCACCATCAGCTTCCTTCACCACATTTGCTTAGGCACCCATTTTGTCTTCAGCGATCGTGTCTGGAAGGTGAGTATCAAAGAGTGCCAGGTTATTAGAACAAAGTGTTCTTGTGTTTAGGGAGTCCTTGAGTAGCGGCCCAAAGTCCGTCTGCTATTATAATACTTTGCATATAAATAACATGTACATTGACCTATATCCCTATCATTATAAACTGATATATCTATATATTTATGTGCCTATACCTATAAATAGCCCTTGCCTCCTGTTTCTTTGCTCTCCTTCCCTTCTTCTTCCTCCTGTCCCCTGCTCACGCTCACACTGCACGTGGCTCTCGGTAGTTTAGTCTTGCCTTTTTGCATTGATGGAAAGCTCACCACAGCCTTCTCGGTTTCCCTGCATTTCACGTCAGGTCTTGGTGCTGCAGACTCACTACAGGCGGTGGCGTGCTAAAATGGTTGTCGAGGAGTTACGAAGACAGAAGAAGTTGAGGATGGAGTGGGAATTGCAAGAAGAACTGAGGAAGAGGAGAGAAAAGGAAGAGTGGATGAGAATGGACTACTACCGGAGGCATAACCCTAAAGTACGGGAAGATTTTGAACTCCTTTATAACGCGCTGGAACGTAAGTTTGATGCCGGCTTCGCATACAATTTGCATTTTTGAATTACTACTTTTCATGAGTAGGGAGACTGGGTTATACCAAAGACAAAAGAAAGGCTTTGCTGTTTTAGGAAGATGTACTGTGCCTCAAATTCAAGTACCAAAGACATGAATGACTTCTTACCATTGGGATAAGAATGAAGGCAGAATGAAGTGGGTTAAACTTTGACATTCATAATTAATAGATAAAATGTGCACACGGCCCAGCAGATGTGACCATTTTCATATGTTATCTCCCTTGATCCTCATCCCTGGGAGATAAAGAGATGATTGTCCCTACCAGTTCTCTGGTTTGAGAATTGGTGCAGGCATAGTTGAATTTAATCCTGCCAGCCAGCCATCTGGCGCCTCCTGCTCCTCAGCGGATGCCTTGTCTCTCTGCACGTTGACTTTTACCTACTACTTCTTAGAGCGTGGCTCCTAGTCACTGACGCCTTGAAAGCTTCTGTTACTTGGACACTTGAAGCAGTCCCTCCTTAGGGTATTGAATACATGGCTCCTCATCCCAGAATCCTCTCCCCACTGCCCACCTTCCAGACTCGGCTGAAATATCACTTCCACAAAGGCTTTTGGGAATGACATATAATTTGAATTGGTGGTGCTGGGCATTAAGCACAGGACTACTAATTGTAAGGTTGGTGGTTTGAACCTACCAGCCATGCCATGGGAGAAAGATGAGGCTGTCAGCCCCTGGAGAGACTGCCAGTCTGGGAAACCCTCAGGGACCGTCCTCCTGTCCCCTGTTAGCTGGAATGGACATGAGAGCATGGGTTTAATCACCTGAATATCCCACGGACTTCGAATGCTCCTACTTGCACTCCGTCACATGCTCCTTCCTGTCACATGCTTAGCCCACAGTGCCACCAAGGCCCCTTACTTGGGTCGCTGTGCCTGCTACACCAGAAGGAACAGTCACAAATGAGTGCGCTACCTCCCTGGATGCCTGAAAGTGGTGACGTTGTGTGAGGGCATTACGCATGCCGTCTCGCGATGACGTGCAGGACTTTTAGAAATAAGACGTAGCCTCACGCCTTACTTCAGTTGAGCAGGAAAATGAATCCGAGGAAATATATTCTTAGACCTCTCTTCGATCACCCATAAGAGTCATGTAAGCACCTTTTCTTACTATAGCCTTGTGTACATCGGATTTGTGGATGTCACTACGTGGTCTTTTCTATCACCCAGATCAGGCTTTCCTCTCTAGTTTAATACATTCCTAGTGTCCGAGATTGGGCCCCTTTAAATCTCAATCTAGCACCATGCTGTTTACTGAGGATCTAAGCCTGACCGGGTCTACCCAGCAGCGTGAACCAAATTGCTCCGAGTGACGGCTCAAAGTGTTGACAGCAGGGCTCACGACTGCACGCAGTCTGGATGGCTGCTTCCCCTTTGTCTGACTCGTTGACCTCTGGAAAGCGGTTCTCTGCTCCCCGAGTGTCATTTCTCCTTGAACTTTCTCTGTCAGAAGTGTCAGCTGGCTGACAGAGGGCACTCACTGTCAGCCAGGCCAAACTGGCAAACGTGAGACTCAAGTTCTGTTGGCTCAGAACTGGGTTCTGATCATGTTCCAAAACTCATAGATGAAGACACGCGGGACACCACCGTTGTTCTTGTCGGGTCAACAGGCCACCGTGAAAGACAAAACAAAGTCTGCTGGATGAGGTTCCGCTTCCAACCTCTCAGTGCTGTGAGCCTGGAAAAGACACCCCTCCTTTCCTCTTGCCTCTGTCTTCATCCACGAAAGGGAGCTCATCTTTTTCTGCACGTCTCCTCCAGAGAGCCCCATATAGTGCAGAAGGCACATGAAGACATGTGTAAGAGTGCTTTGTAAAGTGAGAAGCCCTACAATTTGTTCTAAAGCAAATAACGTTATCAAGCATTTCTGCATTGAAGCAGAATAGATGTATTTCATGTACGCGTGAGCACAAACAGCGAGTCGCCAGTCACTCCGAGAGGGTTGGTTGGTCTACTTGATTACGAGGTTTCAGGCACGGATCTACAGGAGACACTGGGGATCCAGGGACCTCCTGAGACTGCCTCCCCCAGGAGAGAAGGAAAAGGGGATTTATAGGGGTCTTGAGCACGGGGTAGGGGTTCAAGGTATTTCAGGAGTCTCTGCAAGTCGGGCTGCTAGCCATAATAAGATCAGCAGTTGGAAGCCACCAGCCACGCCTCAGGAGAAAGACAAGGCTTTCGACTCCCTTAGAGAGTCAGGCCTGTAACCGAGTACCTTTCTAGTTTGTGCATCCATGCGTCCAGTGAGCCTGTACTTGGCAAAAGGTATATCGGTCACTGCCTAGCGTGGCCCTCTCGCCCCAGTTCTGGCGGTGGGACTACTGTTGGCCGCTAACACCACCTTCTGTTGCATCCCTTGCTTTTCCTTCTGTCCGCGTGTGGTTGTTGAACACATTAAAGCAACTGCGCCAAAGGCACGCGGACACTTCCCACCAGCGCTGGCAGTTTCCCCCCAGTGTTGAGGGCACTTTAAGACATGCATGTCCTGATGATGAACTGGGAGTTGTTGGGCTTTCCAGGATCTACTTAACCCGTGGGTTCAGGGTCATCTCCCATGACCTGCTTAAAAGGAAGGAAGAAAGGCTTTCTTGGGGTTGGAGGCCCTTTCTCTAACCCCAAGGAGGCCTGGTGGCACAGTGGTTATGAATTGGACTGTATTCTAAAAGGTCATCAGTTCGAAACCACCAGCTAATCTTTGGGAGAAAGATGGGGCTTTCCACTGCTGTTGGCAGGTACAGTCTGGGAACGTCACAGGGCAGTTCTACCCTGTCTTACAGGGTCACTCTGAGTCAGCATCGCCTGGATGGCAGTTTGTTTGTTTTTCCCCCTTTAACTCTATGAGTACACAGTCTTGGTACCGCTGTAGGTTCATTAGTGCCCTGGCCTGGTGTGGGCTCCATTGTCATCTCAGCACACCTGACCTCATTATTTGGATTGAGTTGGTGGAGATAGGCCCCTCATCCTCCACCTGCTCTAAGGCCACGTGCCTTTCTTTGGAGGTGAGAAGGGTACTTCATAATGGTTGAATGTTCTCTGCCGGCAGGCAGCAGAAGTGGAAGCAAATAGCTTGTCCATTTGGAGGGGGGGGTCACTACAGTGTGAAGGGAGGCTGTCTTTCCAGTTGTACAAACCCGAAGGAGGAAAGAGGTGTGTGTACAAGCCGGCCTCTCCTGGGCCCGTCTCCCTGGTTAACCGCGTTGGTACTGCCCACCCAGGGGGACTGCCCCACCTGGCTGCCTTTGACTCTGCAGCTGGAAATGGTTCCCTGTCTGGTGTGAGGAGACCAGCCCTCGGTGGTGTGTGGAGTTGGCCCTGTCTTGACTCTTGTAGCTGTGGGCATCCTCAGTGCCCCGCTGCTGGTCCCTCAGCTGCCTCCACTCCACCCCACCCCACATGGGCAAAGGGCTGCGGCCAGGAGCCAGCGCTGGTCGACCAGAGGCTCCTTGCGTCTGGCAGCACCTTCTAAGGGGCATCAACGGAAGTTTCCTGTAGGAGAGTTTCGGGCCGCCCGGAAGGCTTACTGCTTCGCTGTATCGCTGTGAGGACACGAAGGCTTGTACATGCAGCACCCTTCCCACTTGTGGTCCTCTTTGCACAGTAATTCAAGTTGTAGGAAAGTATTATGCTTGTGAGACCGATTCACTGGCCACTTTTCCTGTCGCCCAGCCCATATGTAGCGTGCCTAGTTTCATAGAAATGCCCACCCTCTTTCTTCCATTGGCCCTTTGTTCTCTCTTCTAATTGGTTAACACGCATCCCGGGGTGGTGGTAGTGGTGGTGATGGTGGTATAGACCGGTTTCCCCACTAAATTGGGATACCCTGGGTGTCTCTTTATCAGCAGTCCTGGAGCCAGGTGGAAACTCAATGGGCTTGCTTCTGTGAAACAAATGGACTCTCACGTCCTGCAAAAATCACAATTCGGTCCCACAGCCTTCAGAAATGCAATCCCGTGGGTGCCCACCAGGTGGCGGCCACACCTCGCTCTCAGTTGCCGCTCGCCCTCACATTTGCAAAGCGAAAGGAACACGCAGCACTTGTAAGGCGACCAAAGTGCCTGAAAAAGGAAGCCCCTTAAAACAGTTGTAGGGAAGGTACGGAAGACTTAGGGGTGATGCAACAGAAAATCAGAACAGAAGCAACACAAAGAAGCCCCGGGGGAATGAAATGACACTTATTCCACATGCCTCGAGACGAGAAACTGAACCTCTCACGGCAATGGCGTTGATCTGGACGCACAGGGACCCATAGGACAGGGTCGATCTGCCCCTGGGGGCTTGTGAGGCTGTCACTCTTTACCAGCATGGAAGGCCTTGTCTTTCTCCGGGGCACCGCTGGTGGCAATTTCTCACTGCTGACCCAGCTCCACTAAGCCAGATGGGACCCTCCTTGCTGGACAAGCAGACTAAGCCCTGCCCAATCTGAAAAGACAGTAGGCGCTCTCAGGCCCCCTCCTGTGCCTACCCACCCCATTCCACACCGTGGAAACAACTTCCAGCGTGTCTTGGTTCCGGAGCACCACAGAAATGGGTGTGGGGACTCACCCAGATCCCAGCCTGGAGGTGCAGCCTTGCCCCGGACCGGCTGTTGGTGACCTTCAGGGATCAACCTGCAAACGTCCGCTCCACAGCGGACTGGTGACTCTCCCAGCCTCATCTGAGACTACAACGCCGCGGGACCAACCCAAGGGCACCCAGTTTGTCCCCTCCAGTGGCAGCTTGGAGCCGATCACTCTGGGACAGGCCGGTGGGGGAGCAAGCAGGGTGAATGTTTCTCAGTATGCCCGAGACAGGGGAGCTGCAGGTCCTCCTGAGAGCGGAGAGAGAATGCGGAGCATCTTGAGCCTGGGGCAGGGCTCTGAGGGATCTCAGTAGCCTCTTCGTGTTTCTATGTCAGATGGCTGTCCCCAGCACGTCCTTGCCGCACTGTTGTCACAGGAGGCTTGTTCC